CAATCTGGCTGCAAAGAATTAGGTGAGGGAGCAATGCAGATATGATTATGTAAAACCTTGACTATCAGCTATAGGAGTTTGAAAGTTACACAGTGAGGTATGGAAAGCCATTGAAAGTTTCCAAGCAAGAGATGAAATGATTAAAACAGGAGGATTATTTTTTTTATTTTGTTTTTTGCTTTATGTTCAAGTGTAGACATACAAAGGATTATTTTAGAATCCATATGTAATGTGTCCAAAAGGAAAAGCTTAATTCAGGGAGACAAAATAGAAAGGTTTAGCAAAATCTATGAGTAAAATGTGAAGGGGCCAAATCAGGTCAGTTGTAATAGGAGTGGAAATAAAAAGCCTAGGATGTTTCAACAGAGGGCACTGGACCAAAGCTTTGGTGCTACCTGGCATAGGGTTTCCTTCTTCTTATTTGTTGATAATGATAAGCTTTTGCCCATTTTTCTGTTGAATTATTTACCATTTTTGTGTTGATTTGTAGGAATCTGTTTAGACACATAAGTGCTTTTGGATAAAATACTTACATTCAAAATAATTAACTGGCATCATCTGTCCAAGAGATGGGATGGATAGGAAGTTAAGCTTCCAGGAGATGCCTCATTTGTGCCAGTGGCCCCGCATTATTTCTTGATTAATTTTGTAAACTGGGAAGCTGATAGCTCTGGAAATGAGAAAGCAGGTGTTATTTTCTGTAACTGAATATCCCCAACAAGGTTGCCATTTTTTATTCTGTTCATTCTTTTCCTACCTATTCAAGGATATAAACTGTGTTTCTTCACAGAAATTTCCAAGGAAACTATATTTTGTACATTGATGGAAATGTATGGAAAGCATACATTTGGACCGAGAAACTGTGAGTATATTCTCTCCAAATATGACAAAAAACTAACTGCACTGTAAGAGCCTTCTTGGTCCAGAATTTTGAGGTTGGTACCGCTGAGAAAAGATATTTCTCCTCCACACCCCAAATCAACCTCTGTTGATGGCAATCCTATGGTTATTTAAAAATTAAATTTGGTAGGCTCTCTTTAAAATAAGAGGTAATTTAAATTTATTTTTTATCATACAAATAATACACAGTTATATTCCTTCTTGCCTTTTTTTTTTTTTTTTTTCCCCAGAGACAGGGTCTTAATTTGTCCCCCAGGCTGGAGTGCAGTGGCACAATCACATCTCACTGCAGCCTTCACTTCCCAGGCACAAGCGATCCTCCCACCTCAGCCTCCAAAGTAGTTGGGACCACAGGTGCACGCCACCACGCCTACCTAATTCTGTATATTTTGTAGAGACAGGATCTTCCTATGTTGCTTAGGCCGGTCTTGAACTCGTGGACTCAAGTGATCCTTCCACCTTGGCCTCTTAAAGTGCTCATATTGCAGGCATGAGCCACCACCCCCAGCCCATGATTCTATTTTTAATGTATAAAAATGCAATAACAGATATAACAAAAACCCCCCTTGTGCCCTACTTCCGCATCCCTGAGGTAATGCTACTCTGCATTTAGTGTACATGCTTCCAGACTTTTTCCCATTTGCCTACATACATATTTACAGAAAGCAAAATAGATTTGTTGTGTGGTCTTTAAATTTTTTTCTTTACATAAATGGTAACATCGTGCAACTTGATTCTTTCACTTCATGACATGATTTGTTTCCTTCCCAGTACTCAGAGGGTCACCCCATTCATTTAAACTCCTGCATCATCCCTAGTCTGGATGCATCATAGTTTATTTAATAATTCCCCCATTGATGAATGTTTAGTTTAGTTTTATTGTTACATACATTGCTGCAATGAAATCCCTGTACATGCTTCTTTGTGAACATGGGCAAGTATTCCTGTAGCATAGATATCTAGAAATGGAATTGTTGGGGTGAAGACTATGTAGATATAAAATTTTAATTGCCCTTAAAAATGTTGTCCCAACTTACTCTGTTGTCAGCAGAAGATGACAGCATTCATATCCCCACACCTTTCACCACTGGGTATTCTCCAACTTTTTGTTGAAGTTAAGGATGAATAAAAGGGAGTCCATCTAAATTTGAATTTTTCTGATTACTCATGAATTTAATTAAATATCTTTATATGTTTATAGAGCATTTGTGTTTCTTCTATGAGTTTTCTGGCCTTTGTTCATTTTCCTGTTGAATCGTTTTATCATTTTCTTACTGATTTATAGAAAGAATTGGTTTAGACACATAAATGATTTTGGAAAAAATGCTTACATTCGAAGTAACTGGCATTTTTCACAACAGTTTGTGTGTCATATCATTAGTTCAACGTATATAGACAAGTCATGCATGAGTTCTAAATTAAAAATAAAACACGTGCTAGGCACAGTGACTCACGCCTGTAATCCCAGCACCTTGGGAGGCCAAGGTGGGCGGATCACCTGAGGTCAGGAGTTTGAGACCAGCCTGGCCAATAGGGCGAAACCCCGTCTCTACTAAAAATACCAAACTTAGCCAGGCGTGGTGGTGGGTGCCTGTAATCCCATCTACTTGGGAAGCTGAGGCAGGAGAATTGCTTTATTTTTTCAGATGGAATTTTGTTCTTGTTGCCCAGGATGGAGCGCAATGGCGCGATCTTGGCTTACTGCAACCTCCTCCTCCCAGGTTCAGGCGATTCTCCTCCCTCAGCTTCCCGGGTAGCTGGAATTACAGGTGCGCACCATCACGCCCAGCTAATTTTTATATTTTTAGTAGAGACAGGGTTTCACCACGTTGGCCAGGCTAGTCTCAAACTCATGACCTCAGGTGATTCACCTGTCTTGGCTTTCCAGAGTGCTGGGATTACAGGCGTGAGCCACCACGCCAGTCCAGAACTACATTTTAAAAACAAGAAAATTATTACAAAGGTCAGGATAGTGGTTACCTATTAGGGTTAGAGAGAGGGATATGATGGGAAGGGGCACTCTGGGGCTTCTGGGATGCTAGCAATGATCTTTTGTAACAATGTTTACATGGGTATTTGCTTTATAATTATTAAACTGAATATTTGGCCAGGTGAGGTGGCTCATGTCTGCAATCGCCACATTTTGGGAGGCAGAGACAGGAGGATCACTTGAGCCGGGAGTTTGAGACCAGTCTGGGAACAGAGTGAGACCCTGTCTCAGAAATTAAATTAAATTAAATATAAAGAACATTGATGTCCTGTGCACTTTATGCACATTGTAGTTCTCATATTTTTTTTTAATGGGGGAAAAAGGTTGAATGGCTTCACTTGCAGCCCTGACATGGTTCCGTGTGGGGCTTTCATACTAAGGTTTAGAGAAAGAGGAGGAAATGGAGGTTCTGCTAATCTTGGTGCCACCCAGAGGTGGATTCTGAAAGGGATTTTGTGATCTAGAGAGGAGGCATGAAATATACAGTTTGGTGAAAAGAGTGGGTAGAGGTGTGCTTGTGTGTGTGTGTGTGTGTGTGGTGGTGGTGGTGGTGGTGGTGGTGGTGGTGGTGGAGAGAGATGGACACCAAAAGGAAAATGTAAGAAAATATTTGAATGAAAGCAGAGCAGATACCAGCATCTTGAAATGACCATGACCCAGCTTTCCCCCACATGCAGGACATAGTCCTGTGCGGCAAATAGTTGTACTTTGCATTTTAATCTAGAAATAACTTTTTCATTTTCCAGAATTCTCAATGAAAATTATTTGACTGAATTACATAAGGATTCATTTGAAGGCCTGCTATCCCTCCAGTATTTGTAAGTTAGTTAATCACATTTATGAGTTTTTAGTCAAATTATCTGTAAAATGAATAAGGGGTTCAAATTAGATAATCTCTAAGATTTCTTCCAGCAACAAAATTCTGCAATTCTGTAAGTTTGTGTAGGGTCTCAGCCCATCTCTAGCATTAGCTACCTCCTATGCATTTTCAGTTTTTAAATTATCGAGACACAATACACACAGAAAAAAATTTAGTATAGTAATAAGATCTGAGCAGTGACTGACACCCATATTGAACCTTGTTTTATAAGGGTTCACACACCATCTTCTTCTATTCAGTCTACAACCAATAAATCAAATCTAAACTATGGTCTATTTTTAAATAGTCCATTAAGTTAAGAATGGTTTCTGCATTTTTAAAGGACTGTGAAAGAAAAAGAAAAGAAACAAAGAGAAATATGTGACAGAGATCACATGTGGCCCAAAAAGTCTAAAATATTTACTGTCTGACCTTCACAAAAAAGAGATTTGAAAAAGTTGGTTTAGTAGGACGAAAGGAATTAAAGTTAACTTCAGATTGTTGCCTAAAGGAGAAGAAAATATAGACCATCTACATTCATTTGAACATCATTAATCCAGAGTTTTTTGGTAATTTAATCGGAATTAAATTAACATTTAAATATTAAAAATCAGCTGAATTATGTAAATAATATTATCAAGAATATTGAGCTACCAAGAGAATAGACTGGTATTAAGGATTTCAGTTCAGGAATTATTATATGAAAACAGATGTTTAAAATGATGGTTAAGTGGTAGAGCTAGAAATGTTTACACTCAGAAGCATACCAGAAATGCCCCTAACTCTTCACCAATTACAAAATAACTATCTCCCCAGCCCTGTTACCAAGAAAGGGATACTTGCATAGTATTTCTGTCTGTTTAGAGACAAGAAGATACTATGTTCATTGCTATGGAAGCTTGATTCTTATCCTTTGTCCATAGAGGTGTGTATGTCATTAATCCTTATTAAGCTCATCAGTGATGCTCTTTTGCAAACAGATTCTTTCAAATGTAGAAGGCTTAAGGAAAGTGGGTGTAAAGACCCTCAAGTGGATGCCAAAGTGCTACAGAGGCCATGAAGTAATAAAACTACATTTCCTTTAAAATAGTCATTTTCCTTCTACTCACTCCCCCAGCTATTCATTTATTTTACAAATATTTGAGTTTGCTTTATTTCCACGTGTCAGTTTTAAACATGGTGGGCAATGCGGATGAGAAGACCTAGTCCATGCTTGCAAGGAGTTTATGCTCAGAAGAAATGGGATAAAAAATAACTACATTAAAAGGAAGAAATGGATGTGGGCACTAGGAGGGATACATTGTTTCTGCAGCATAGGAGGGATAAATTATTTCTGGAGCACAGAAGAGGAGAAAATGCCTTCAATTTGGACCCAGGAAGATGTTACTAGAACAATGCCATTTGAATAGGACTTTGAAGGGCCATCGTGTAACATCGGACAGACATCTTGGGGAAAATATTCTAAACTTGCAAAAGGAAAATGGGAGAAGGGCAAAACACAGGAAGGTATTTGAGGAATGCCATGAGTACCTGTAGAGTACAAGGAGGGAGAGTAGGAAATTGGAGCCAGATCTTCTAGGGCTTTGAATGCCCAGCTGAGGAGCCGTCATGGGGAAGCGTGTTACCGCAGCAGTGCTGTAGATAGATCTGCATCACAATCACTGAGAGGGGCGTTAGACTCAGTTCCGGATCCGCGCTCGTGGTTACTGATTCAGTTGGTCTAGAGTGGGACCAAGAATCTGCATCTTCAATAATTTCCCAGGAGATGCTGGTCTTTGCAAACCACTTGTGGAGAGTTTATCTGATGACTGTGTGCAGGATAGTTTAGGAAGGGAGAGACTAGATATGGAGACATCAGCCAGACAGCGTTACACCATCCAGGTAAAGAGGGAGGGACCAGTCCCATCACTGTATAACTGAAGAAATTGCTTTCATGAAATATTAAAGCAATATAAAACCAAAAATGAATTTCTATTAATATGATAGAAATTGATTCTATGAATATGATTTGAATTAGTTCAAAGTTATATATTAGGTAAAGGGGTAACTTTCTTTCAAATGATGTGAAAGGATTTTTTTTTTTTTTTTTTTTTTTTTTTTGAGACGGAGTCTGGCTCTGTCACCCAGGCTGGAGTGCAGCTGTGCAATCTCGGCTCACTGCAAACTCCGCCTCCTGGGTTCACGCCATTCTCCTGCCTCAGCCTCCTCAGCAGCTGGAACTATAGGTGCCCGCCATCATACTCGGCTAATTTTTTGTATCTTTTAGTAGAGACGGGGTTTCACCGTGTTAGCCAGGATGGTCTTGATCTCCTGACCTCAGGATCCTCCCACCTCGGCCTCCCAAAGTGCTGGGATTACAGGCATGAGCCACCGCACCCGGCCCGACTATTTTTTCTAATATTAGAAATTATATATAGAGATAAAAACTTTGAGCTCATAATCTAGGATTTGATGAGACTACAAAAGGGCATCTAATCAAGTCTACTGCTCTCAGGAAAAATTAATTCCAAAATCTATTAAGTTGTATATTTATGAAAACCATGAAGGTGAGACTCTAGGAGAGGTATGGGCAGGGTTAGGGGCTCTGGAAAGTTCAAATCCAAGCCCAAACCTTTAGAGTTGAGATGAAAAATGTGTATTCAATATTATTCTAAACTCTTGCTATTATTCATACTAATCGACATTTAATAACTAACCAAGGCGATATTTTCCTTTTGCTTTTTCTAGAGATTTATCCTGCAATAAAATACAGTCTATTGAAAGATGTACATTTGAACCACTACCATTTTTGCAGTTTACGTAAGTTACACATATGACTTTATTAAATTTGGAATTTTTATAAAAATTATAAACCTCTTTGCTATTCATTTTGAAATATGATTAAAGTTTTACCAGTAGAAAGCTACTAAAATTATAGAGCAAATCCTTTTTGTCTCTAGCAAGGATTAGTGTGAGAATTATTACACAGATCTTAGTGAATCATCAGAGAGCAGTGGTTCTCAGGTGGTGTGATTTTCTACTCAGGTGGCATTTGGTAATGTCCGGAGACGGTTTTGGTTGACAAAACTGTGGGTGTGCTCCTGGCATCTGGTGGGCAAAGGCCAGAGATGCTGCTCAATATCCTCCAAGGTATAAAACAAACCCCCATGGCAAAGAGTTATAGAGTCCAAAATGTCGATGGCACTGAAGTTGTGAAATCCTGTTCTAGAGAAATAAAGATCACTTCACACAGGTATTTACTGAGCGTTCACTGTTTTGTAGCTAATGCACCACATGTGCAATGTTAAAGTATAAATCATAAGCCAGTATCTTCCACAGTGAGATTTCCTTAGTGCATACAGGAAGGATTGGGGTTATGTTCCATCCTATATAAATTAGAATCATGGCAAATGATAAATGTTCTGAAATAATTTTTTTTTCTTTGGCTTATGCCTTTTTTTGTAGAAATCTTGGTTGCAATTTACTCACAGAACTGAGCTTTGGAACATTTCAGGCCTGGCACGGAATGCAGTTTTTATACAAGTTGTAAGTGAAATAGAAGATAAATACATGTAAACAACTATTTATGCATAAAAACTCATACAATTATTGGTTAGCTGGGTATAAGCCTATTATGAACTTTGAAAAGTATGTCTTAAGATCCATTCATTTTTCTCAAATGGGGAAACTAAGGTACAAAGAGGCCAAGAGACATACATAGCTTATATATGACCTGCTCTGCTTCTCCTAGTTCTGACCTATGGCATGGTCAAGAAAAGGCATCAAAGAAGTGACTCTCAAATTAGTCTTGTTGCTGGGCGGGGTGGCTCAGGCCTGTAATCCCAGAACTTTGGGAGCCGAGGCGGGCGGATCGCCTGAGGTCAGGAATTCAACACCAGCCTGGCCAACATAGTGAATCCCCATCCCTACTAAAAATACAAAAAAATTAGCTGGATGTGGTGGTGCAGCTTTTTGCTCCCTGGAGGGCTTTGTGTAAGCTTCCTTCCTTGCAGCTAAACGTTGCAGACATTTAAGCAGTTAGAAACTCTGCATATGAGCAGAAATCAAAGTTAAATCCAAAGTATGGGGCTGGGCATGGCAGCTCACACCTGTAATCCCAGTACCTTGGGAGGCCGAGGTGGGAGGATCACTTGAGGTCAGGAGTTTGAGACCAGCCTGGCCAACATGGTGAAACCCCATCTCTACTAAAAATACAAAAATTAGCAGGTCTTGGTGGCAGGCGCCTGTGATCCCAGCTATCGGGAGGCTGAGGCACGAGAATGACTTGAACCTGGGAGGTGGACTGCACTCCAACCTCCCCTCCAGGCTGGTCTCGAACTCCTGTGACCTTAGGTGATCTGCCCACCTCAGTCTCCCAAAGTGCTGGGGTTGCAGGTGTGAGCCACCATGCCTGGCCAAGATCAGGTTTATGTTAAGCTATCGTGCAAAAAAAATTTTGTAAAGAAAATACATCACTGTATCTGAATTCCATATACTTTCCTGACTACTCTTCCACCATAAGTGCAAAAATTCTATGATTTCTCTGTAGAACATACCCAGCAAATCAGAGTGGGTATACTCAATGGCCTGAAGGGGACTTTAGACTCAAAATGAAGATTCTCCTCGACATCTGACTTTAGAAAAGACTTTCCACCTCTCTTGTGGTTCAGAAATCTAGTTTCACACAGCTCATTTTGAGGTAGAGGGAGGCATTCAGGATGTGTCTGAACTAGAGCAGCAGTTTCTGCAGATGCTCCTCTCTGTCCTCATTAATTTGCTGATGCCTAACTTAGGAAAAGGACACTGAGGGCCTGTTTCTCTTTTGCCCTCACACCAGAGAACAGGCTCATTAGGTCCCTCCACCAACAGATTTAGGGAGCATCAATACAAACGTCTTAAACTTGCCACCTTTACTAAGCACTTTATAACACTGGGAGTCCCTCATAAGAATCTGGTGGCCAGGAGCGGTGGCTCATGCCT